CAACTAGATGGTGCCTGGCTACCACCACTGACTGCTCTGACAGGGATCACAACAGAGGGTCCCAGACAGAGCCGGAGAAAAATGTGAACAAAATTCTAACTCACAAAAAAAAGGACCAGACTTACTGGCCTGACAGAGACTGGAGAAACCCCGAGAGTATGGCCCCTGGACACCCTTTTAGCTCAGTAATGAAGTCTCTTCCAAGGTTTTCACCCTTCAGCCAAAGATTAGACAGGCCCATAAAACAAAACGAGACTAATGGGGCACAACAGTCCAGGGACAAGGACTAGAAGGCAGAAAGGGGCAGGAAAGCTGGTAATAAGGAACCCAAGGTTGAGAAGGGACAGTGTTGACATGTCGTGGGGTTATTAACCATTGTCATAAAACAATATGTGTACTGTTTAACGAGAAACTATTTGTTCTGTAAACCTTCATCTAAAGTACAAAAAAAAAAAAAAGAACTTAAAAAAAATCCACGTAGTAGGCTGAGTCTGTAGACAGATAAACCTAGGTTAAATTCCCTAGAGTTTAAATTCTCTGGAGTCAGAGAAACCTGGGCTAACTTCCCAGCTAGGTCGTGTACTAGCTGTGTGCTCTTAAGGGTCATACTCAACCTCTTTCAGGCCTCAGTTCCTCATCCGCAAAATGGGCTGTGGTGGGAAAGTTAAATATAAAGTGTTCCGCCCAGAGAGGAGAGAGCTTGCATTGCTATGAAGACGGGCTTCTTTCAAGAGCCGGGGGGAGGGCGAGGTGTGGAAGGCAGCCTTCAGCGCACAGACGGGGTCCTAGGGGTGGGGTAGGGTGGGGGGTCAGATTGCACGCCCCACGCCCCGCCGCCCCGACTCACCAGGGCTTCCAACTCTTCCCTCTCCAGCGGCTCGTACTGGTGGCCTGCGCGGGAGAAGGTGAATTTCTGCAGGAACTTGGAGAAGCGTCGCTCCACCATGGTGAGCGGGCGAGGCCCCACGCCTGGCCTCCAGTCTGGCGCCCCTCGGTCCCAGGCGAGGCCGGGGCTGGCTGCGCGCGCCCAAGCCTCCAGGGCCAGGATCGCGTTACCAAGCAGCTGCCTACCTGCCCGCCGCAGGTGAGGCCCCGCCCCCGGGGCGGGGCTGCACGCCAGGCCAAACTTGGAGCACCTGGCCCCGCCCCGGCCCGCGAGCTCTCCAGGGTCTCCCAGGCCCTGGTGGGCAGCGGCCCAGAAAGCCCCAAGGACCCGCAGTGTGTTGGCCAGAGCTCAGGCTGCGTCCAAACAAGCAGAATCATAAGAATCACCTGGGGTGGAGGATAGGTTTTTGGGTGGTAGTGGGGGAGCAAACGCTTGTTTAAAATGCGGATTCCCAGACCTCGTCCTCCCTTGAGTCTTAGGGTCTGGAGCCGGGAAGCTGGGTGTGTAATAAGCGCCCAGGTGGTTCTCCTGTGTGGGCAGCGGTAACGTGATGGAAGCCAGGTGGGTGAGAGCTGAGTCAGACTCCTACCTAAGTTGTGCTGCTCTGGACACACATCACCTCTGTGATCCACGGCTCCCTCCTCCCTAGTTGAGGGAGGAGGAAAAGGCTGACTTCACCTATCACGAAGGCCATTGAACAGATTGTTAAACCAAGGCTCCCTGATCTTAAGAAACCTGCCTAAGGTCCCAAGACCAGAGAGTGCAGAGTCCCAGTCTGCAGGTGAGGACGAAGGGGCCCAGAGCTCATCCAAGATCACACAGAAGCCAAGGGCAGCGGTGGCCCTCACACTCACTTCCCACTCTGGGAATCTCCTTGTGATTGGAAGCAGCTGAGTGAGCACACTTAGGCCAGATGTTACATTTTTTTATTTTGTAGCACTGTGATCAGAAAATGTAGCCTGCACACACAGGTCTGCTGTTTGTCCCTTTCTTAATTTACTGAGACCTTGTGCCTGGTTTGTAGGCAATTCTTACAAACGTTTCAAGGGTTCTAGAAAACTTTGTGCATTCTATTTTGTAAGGGGGTTAAATTAGTTCCGTATCTCTTCGTTCTCTGTTTCTAGTTACATTGTTCATGTCTGTTATGGATTGAATTGTGTCCCCCAAAAAGATATGTTGAAGTCCTAACCCCTGTACCTATGAATGTGACCCTGTTTGGAAATGGGGGTTTTCTTATGTTAATACAGTCACACCAAAGTAGGGAGGGTCCTAAACGTAATCCTTTCCTAGTATGTCTTATAAAGGGGAGAACAGACACGGAGTCAGACACACAGGGGGAGATGCCATGTGAAGATGGAGGCAGATGCATCTACAAGCAGCAAAGGAACCCCAAGGATCACCAGCAGTCTCCAGAAACCAGGAGAGAGGCCCACAGCAGGAATCAACACTGATTTGAACTTTTAGCCTCCAGAACTGTGAGACAATCAATTTCTGTTCTTTTAAGCTGCTCACTTGTGCTTTTGTGTGTTTGTGTGTTGCGGAAGCACTAGGTAACCAAGGCAAAGTCCTTCTTTATTTTTTACTGTGAACTTGACCTGGCACAGGATAATGAAGAGTTAAAACTTTCCACTCAGATTGCTTTCCTGTCCACATTTTCCTTGTATGTCTGAATTTTCGTTTTTTGTATTATGCGGCTGGGTGGTTAATAATGATTTTAACCTGTTGATTATAGCTTTTGTAATTGTTCAGCAGCATCTCTACCCCCTTAAATTGTGTTTCATGAAGTCCGTTTGAAGAGTTCACATGGCCACTGCTGCTTCCTGTGGCTCCAGTCTGTGTGGTCGACGCCTGATATCTTCTTTTTAGCTATCCTGGTTCATTTCCAACAAAGACAGTAAGGTCTTCGAGAGCAAGAAGCGTGTGTGTTTCATCACTGTGTGCCCACTGCAGTCTATCACTGTGCCTCAGTCACAGCAAATGCTCAGCCATACTTACTGGATAAGTCTCCCTCGTAAACAGCACAGCACTGGAATTTTAAAAAATCTAATTTGAGATTATTTGCTCCATGATAGGACATTTACTGTTTACATCATTAGCGTTGTTACCATTAGACTGACGTCTGTCTTCCTCTTTCATGTTTTATTTCTGTGTTTTTTTGAGGCAAACACTCTGCTATTTGTTGTCATCTTTGACTTTGATTTTGGAATAAACATTCCACTTAAAATTCTATCAGGAGTTGTCTGAAAGCCTTTCAGAAATAGAGACAAATATTTATACAGTCTCTTGAGTTCCTTTTACAGGTTAAAAGGAATTTTGTTTCTCATCTTCATTTTTGATTTTCTATCTTTGGCTACCTTTTGCTGTACATTCTTAGTAATATAATCTAATTGCACAAATCCTTAATTTTTCAGTCTTTTTTTTTTGGGGGGGGGGGTTGTGCATCCTCCATTTTTACCCCCAGCAATTACTGCTGCTGTTTATATTTGTTTTCCAAATCCTTTCTTAGCTCCATAACCTTGGTTGGGTTTCAAGGTCATTACCACTGTTTACAAGATTTTTCCTCCAAGAATTTTTCTTCTGTCTTCAGCCTGCAGAATTCTAGAGTTTGCTCTCAAAGAATCTCTTCGCACAAGACAACTGGCTGAAAAACTCTCTAAGGCTTACAGCTCTAAGGAAGACCGACATACACTGGACAGCATTGAAAGTCAAGGGTGAAACCAGCCAAAGGCTTCAGTCATTCTTGAAATATCTGCTCTGGGCACATTGTACAAGGAGCTCCCTGCCCTCCCCCGCCCATTCCCTCTCCATATGAAAGTGATGTCATTTCATCACCCATCAATTATCCCTGAACAATGCACGCTGTTTGGAAGCCTCGATACAATCTCCAGGCACCTGGAATTTACTTGGTAACAAACCTCACTCACAAGTTATAGAGCTGGCATTCATTGGAAGGAATCCTTTGCAGAAAGGGTATACTGTATTCTCAACAATTTAAATTTTAAGGAATGGGTTTGAAGACATGGCTCCTCATGCAGACTCTCAAATATTTTTATGTTTTTCTTTTTTTCTGGCCGTGCACGCTAGCAATTAGTATAATTTTACAGATGAAGAAATCGGGGCACCAAGAGATGAAGCCACTTGCATTTGTCCAGTCCACAATATTTTTTAAGCACCTGCCATGTGCCAGGCACTGTTACAGGCACTGGGATATGGCCGTGCCCACGACAGAATCTATCCCTGCTCTCTTGTGTCTTATCTTTGAGCGGACGAGGTACACTGCACACAAATCAATGTATATACTGCAAGGCCAGGTAGTGAGCCATGCTATGGAGAAAAGTGAACAGGACGGAGACTGCAGAGGTAGGGAATGTCGGTGGAGTAGTCAGGAGAGGGAGCATTTGCTCATGTCAGACTTCCACTGTGGCTTCTTCCATAGTCCTTGTTGGCTAAACCTTAGGCAAACATTTGCTGAGCACTTCCTCCATGCTGCGGGCGTGGCTGGCCTTGCAAGGGGCTTAGACCTCCCAGGAGTTACTAGGCACAGGCCTGTGAGACGTAACCCAGGTGCCCAAGGAGTGTGTGTTAAAAAACAAACAACAACCACAAAGAAAAGTTGCCATTGAGTTGATTCTGACTCATGGTGACCTCGTGCATTACCGAGTAGAACTGCTCCATAGGGTGTTCTTGGCTGTAATCTTTACGGAAGCCAATTGCTAGGCCTTTCTTCTGTGGTGCCACTGGGTGGGTTCAAACTGCCAACCTTTAGATTAGTGTTGTTATTAGGTGCTGTTAAGTCAATTTTCAACTCATAGAGACTCCATGTAATGGAGTAGAACTGCCCCCATAGTGTTTTCTAGGCTGTAATCTTTGCAAGAGCAGATCGCCAGGTCTTTCTCCCGTGGAGTGGCTGGGTGGGTTTGATTAGATTAGTAGCCAAGAACAAATTGCTTGCACCACCCAGGAACCTTGAGTGTGTGTTGGGACCTGCTACATCCCGAGAGGTAAACACATGGATGGATGCTACCCCTCCCTCCTCCAACACCGTTAGCAGACATGGCTATTTGATTCTGGGGTGACATTTTCCCCTCAGCTGGGGCAGGCCTGGGAGTCCTCCTCACACTTGGAGTGGCCACCAGCTATTGTTTAGACTTGGTGCTTGAACAAACCTACTCACCAACGGGCTTTCAGAACAGGAGCAAATGACCTTGGGCAGAGGAAGTCATGGATCCTTCTAGAGGGTGGTGGTATGGATGAAGGAAAAGATCTCCACGGGTGGAGAGAAGAGTGGGCTTGGGGTACAGAGAGAACAGACTCAGGCAGAGGAAAGCTGGCCTCAGGATTCCCAAACTTCTCTACAGTCTCTTCTCATGACTCCTCCCCAACCCAAGGGACTGCTGGGCTCACTAAACCAATGACATTTGGTAAATGTCAATTGACTCCCTTTTAAAATTTATTCTCAGTTTTAAAATTCAAAGGCATCCAATCCTGTCACTCAGAGTCAAGAGAATTCCAGCCCAAAGCAAAGGGGCCTAAGGCTTTCCATTACACTCTGCAGCCCATGCTCCTCACGGCAACACTGGAGGTAACTAACCATCCTGTGGGCAAACAGTTAAGCACTTGGCTACTAACCAAAAGACTGGCAGTTCAAACTCACCCAGAGGCACCTCAGAAGAAACGCCTGGTGATCTACTGCCCCAAAACCAGCCAAAGAAAACCCCATGGAACGTAGTTCTACTCTGCACTCATGGGGTTGCCATGAGTCAGAGTCAACTCGACAGTGACTTGTTTGATTTTGGTTTTTGGTCCCAGTTTTAGCACTGGCAGTCCCAGTTCCTGGGAAGTCCCCCAGACGACACAAGGTTAGCCACCCCCCTTCCTCCCACCCCCAGCATTGTTCTGAGGCTCACACCTGCTCATGTCACCCCCTTGCTTACACCTCCCACTGCAGGTTAAAGTCCAGAATCCTTCACATGCCACACCAGGGTCACCAAGCCTGGCCACTACCTCTCACCCCATCTCTCCACTCTAGCCTTTCCAAACTCTCTTCCCTTCTCAAAGGCCCCTGGTGTGCCTCTCCCCTCCAACTTTGCTTGAACTGCTCCCTCTGCCTGGAACACTCCTCAGGGGCACTCTAGCCCAAACTCTCACTAGGCTAACTCCCCCTTGACCTTCAGGTTTATAGGAGTCCCGGGGTGGGGGGCGAATGGTTAATGTGCTCTGCTGCTGACCAGTTGGAGGTTCAAGTCCACCCAGAGGTGCTTGGAAGAAAGGCCTGGTGATCTTCTTCTAAAAAA